AGGTAACAAGGGCCAGAGGAAGACTTTCCCAAGCGTGAAGAAACCACTTGGGAAACTATGGCCTTGCAATCTAAGTAAATGAAAAATAAGAGCAGATAGTAGAATGTATGTGATATGAAAGAACAGGGGAGAATACTGAGAGCTAAATCTTCCAGTGGGGACGAGGACAGGAGCATGGGGGAACGGAGAGGTAGGAGTGGCTTAAACAAACTGAGTTCCAGGACAGCTGGGGCTACCGGGAGACATTATCTCAAAAAGACCAAAAAAGAAAGAAAGAAAGAAAGAAAGAAAGAAAGAAAGAAAGAAAGAAAGAAAGAAAGAAAGAGAAAATACGAAGTTGTCAGAAAAAAGTGATGGGGAGATATGGGCAGTGTTTGAGGGGAGGGAGTGGGCAAGGATTTGATCAAAATACCTTATATGCATGTATGTAATTCTCAGTAAAGCTTTTGTAAAAGTTAAAAAAAAATGAAGAACCTCAAATCCTTGAGTACCAATTTTATTTCTTAATAAACCACATTTGTTTTTAAGATTGAAAAAAGAAAGAGAACAAATGATACCAAATGCTGGCAAGGATGTAGAGAAAGGGGAATACTTATCCGCTGCTGGTGGGATTGCAAACTCATGCAACCCCTATGAAAAGCAGTGTGGAGACTTTTATAAAACTAAAAATGAACCTACCATATGGCCCGGTTATACCACTCCCTAACATATACCCAAAGGACTCATCTTATTGCAGAGACACTTGTACAACTATGTTTGTTGCTGCTCTTTTCACAACTGCTAAGAGATGGAAGCAACCTAAAAGCCCCTCAACTTATGAGCGGATAATGCAAATGTGGTACATTTACACAATGGAGTTCTACTCAGAAGTTAAGATGAAATAATGAAATTTGCAGGCAAATGGCTAGATCTAGAAACTGTTAAACTAAGTGAAGTAACACAGACTTTGAAAAACATAAGTTTTTCTCCCTCATTTGTGGATCCCAGCACCAAATCCTTATATGTGAGTATATATCCTGATGTAACTGCAGGAACCCAGAAAATGGAAGGGAACCAGTAGGAAGCAGGTGTTACTAAGGGAGAAATGGGCAAAATAGGGTTAGTTAAATGGGAGAGGAGATTGAGGGCTATACAAGCAACTATGGGGATAAAGGGGAAAAAGGAGCTCAAGAGAGGTGGGACCATAGCAGACAGGAATTATCAAGGGAGAAAAGGGGAAAACGGGGACATTTTAAATGGGAAGGATAGGGAGGGTAGGTTATAGACAGGGAGAGAGAGAGAGAGAGAAGAGAGAGAGAGAGAGAGAGAGAGAGAGAGAGAGAGAGAGAGAGGATAAATAATGCCTAGCTAGTATAAAAAGCCAGAGGGGCCAATACTAGTCCAAAATCCTACTGAAAACTTACACATACAATATCTCTACATGAGTCCATGTGTATAGCTGAAGACTACATAACAAGAAACAGTGCCAGATAGGAGAAGCCTTCCTTTGAGTTGTTGGCCAAGGTAGTCCAAGAGACTCCTAAAATTATATAGGCTACTGCCACAGCCCTTGATTGCCTCCCAGAACTTGAAGGTGAGGCCCTATTGCTGAAGACAGGACATACTTCAGACACAGGCAATGGAGCAATGGAGCTAGAACTGACTTGGAAGCTGCCTCCTCTGAAGGCTAGCTCTCATAGCTTTGGAGAGCACTATGTAAGCTGGTAAGGGAGAACATCAATTAATGGTCCAACCCCAGCTTCAAGGCCTAAAAACCACATCAATGACCAGCACAGCAAACAACATTGGTATACTAGTGGCACCTTTATCTTGGGGGTAATCAATAGCTACCTAAAGCTCACTCAATGGGAGTAAACTCATGTGTGGTATTGTAAACCTAGCTACATACATATAGCTGGAGAGGTCATAGAACTTAGAGAAAACTTCGAGGCTGTCACATCCCTAGAAATTTGTAATTTCTTGGCATGTGCAAAATATGGTTCCTTAAATTTACAGACAAGTATCCCAGTCACCACCCATTGAAGAAGCTTCTTTTTCAACTGAGATTATTATAGAGTTCCACAACCCCCAGTCACACACAGAGATTGTCTGCGAATTGTCCAAGCCTAAGTGACACATCTATGATGCAACCTCTATACCTAAGGCTCATGGATCATAGAACAAGGGATGAAGAGAACACTAATGCATCTTTCAGTCCTCATCAATGAAGATCCCTCATGCAACAGAGGGCCATGAACACAAAAGGTCACAAATGGCCAAAACATAGAGAATAAACAGAATGTAGGTCCTTGGATAGGACTCCTATATCAAAATTCTTATATTGGAGATTAAGTTTCATCATGAATTCTAGAGATCAAATATTATAACCATAATAAGCAATCTTTTATATGCCTAGTGGACTTTTGTGTAACTTCTCTGGAAATATACCTGTTAATAATTTGCCTATATTTTTAAGGTTTAAACTTTTTATTGAATTTTTGTGAATTTCATGTATTTTGATTATATTTAGATACTCTCCTGTCTGCACTCTCCCTTACTGCCCCCACCCAATTTCATGTACTTTAATATATATAAAGGCCTATAGAGTCAAATTTGTGTCCCTAAATGCCCTTCAGTGTGAATTCATCCACTGGAGCCTGGTTAACTTATCAAGGGTCTCATTTTTAAATGAGGTGACTCTTCTCCTCTCAGGAGTCATCAGTTGCCAAAAGTTCCTCAACTAGGGTTGAGGATCCTTACCTACTTCCCCACATCTATTCTAGAATTTTGTCTGACTTGAGTTTATGTGGGACTTGTGTATGCTGTCACTATTGCTGTGAGTTCATATGAGAAATTGCTCAGCTGTCGGGAAATCTCTGTTTCCTTATGGTCATCCATCACATCCAGTTCTTACAATCTTTCCTCCCCCTATTCTGCAATGATTCCTAAGACTTGGGAGGCAGAAGTTTGATATAGGTGTCCTATTCAGGGATAAACAGCCTGCGGCCTCTTATTCTCTGCATGTTGGCCAGTTCTGGTCCTCTGTGTTAATCAGCATCTGCTGCATAAGGAAACTTATCTGGTGAGAGTTGAGAGATGCATTAATTTATGGGTGCAACAATAAGTCATTAGGAATCCATCTAATACTATATCTATCAAGCAGAATAATAGTATTAGGCTCTCCCCTATGGCCTGTGACCTTTCCAGTCTCAGGTTCCTAGGGATGATATCAATGTCAGGTATGGGCTCCATTATATTCTTTTGCCATTGATTATGCTGTCTTATTTAGTGCTTTTCCCTAATATTCAGAAATAGGTATTTTTGAAATCCTTACCATTTCCAGTGTTAGTTCATTGATGCCATTATATCCATTATACCTAATTGGCAGTAATAATATTAATATCCTTTTAATTTGTTAAGTAACTTATGTAAATATATTGATCAATGTTTTAAATGTATTATCATAGGTTCTTTAAATTCTTTTTTAAAGTAAATAATTTCTGCATTATTTCCCTTTTTCTTTTGAAGAAGCTTTCTATATAATTAATTTTTATTGTCTTAAGGAACTAAAAAATACAACCACCTCTGTTTCTTCATGAATTGTACCATTTAGAGCATTTAAAAGCATTTCAGGGCTGGAGAGACTGTTCAGTTGTTAAGTGCACTGGCCGCTCTTGCAGAGGACCCAGGTTTGAGTCCTAGTATCCACATGGTGGTTTACAACCATCTGTAACTGCAATTCCAGAGGAATCCATGTTCTGACAACACCATGTTCTGACCTCCACGGGCATTGCACAATATGGATTCACTTACACACATGCAAACAATACACTCATACATATAAAATAAAGTAATAAATAAAATTATATAAAAGCACCTCAGCATTGTTAAGAGTACAGATATATTCTGGGCAAAGTTGAATGTTCCAACATATTTTTTACAATAGTTCCCTTCTATTTGTGTTTCCTGTTTTGGGAACCACGGTTTCACCATTTCTCATTTTTCTCATTTACTGATTGCTTTTGTTTTGTTTTGAGACAGGGTATCCCTCTGTAGCCCAAGTTGGCCTCAAACTCACCATCTTCCTACTTCATTTAGCAGGGATTACAGGCATGAGCCACCATGTCCAGCTCACTGAGGGTTTTGATCCAAATTAGATGCATATGAGGGGGGATATACAGGTCTCTTGAGTTCCAGATGACTCAGCAGTTAACATCACTGACTGCTCTTGCAGAGGACAGGAGTTCGGTTCCCAGAACCCACATGACTGCTGACAGTTCCAGGGGATCTGAGGTCCTCTTCTGACCTCCATGGGCATTGCACAACATGGGTGCTCTTACATACATGCAGGCAATACACTCATACACATAAAAATAATAAAAACTGGAGAGATGGCTCAGCGGTTAAGAATGCAGGTTGTTCTTGCAGAAGATCCAGGTTTGAATCCTAGCACCCACATGGCAGCTAACAACTGTCAGTAATTCCAGTTCCAGGGGATCCAACAGCCTCTTCTGTCCTCCGTGGGCATTGCACGACATGGGTACACTTACCTACATGCACACAATACATGCATACATAAAAAGTAATAAATATTTTTTTAAATAATAAAAACTAAAAATATTAAATTATGTGTGTTTGTGTCTGGGTAGGTACATGTGAGTGCAGGTGCCCTGGGAGGGGAAAAGAGGGTGTTAGAACCCAGGGAACAGAGTAAGGCAGTTGTGAGACACCTGCTGTGAGAATAACAAATGCTATTAAACACTGAGCTATTTCTCCAGCCAAGATTTATGGTTTGACAAAATAGTGGTCAAAACTTTATTGGATTCATTTCTGGGATGTGAGTTACTATACTTGGGCTCTTGAAAGAAGCCAGAGTTAGAAAATATACACTTTAGTGATTTTAGAAACATTTTATTACTCTTATTTTATATGTACCAGAGTACTGCCCATATGAAGGTAGGTGCACTTGGGTCATGCAGTGCCCACAGAGGTCAGAGGGCCTTTTGAATCAACTGGAACTGGAGTTACTGACTTTTGTTAGCTGCCATGTGCGTGCTGTGAATACAACCCCGGTCCTCTGCAAGAGCAGCCAGTGCAGTGCTGCCAAGTCATCTCTATAGTCCCCCAACTCCAGCTTTTTCAAAGAGCTAATAGTGTGGCATCAGTCACCTGATGCAATCCTACGAAACTCCTTTGGACATTTTCTAACTCTCAGAGAGAGTCACAGTTCATCAGGGAGCCAAGGGTAGGAACTCAGGGCAGGAACCTGGAGGCAGAAGCTAGAGCACAGGCCATGGAGGAATGTTGCTTACTGGCTTGCTCCTCTGTCCCCTGCTCAGCTTGCTTTCTTATGCAACACAGGCCCACCTGCCCAGGGGTGGCACCCCCACATCACTCAACAATCAAGAAGATGCCCCACAGACATTGCCACAGGCCAATTCTATGGAGGAAATTCCCCAATTGAGGCTCCCACAACCCATTTGGGTCAAGTTGACACCACAGCTATCCAGCACAACTGACCTCTTGTCACCTTGACACACAAACACATCACTATTAAATTAGAACTTTTCAATTCTTATCCCCAAAATATGATGTTAACATTATTCACATCCCAGCATAAGACAGTACAACCTGAAAAGCCCCACAGTTCTTAAAAAATCCAAACACTTCAAAGTCCATACATAGCCTCTTTTAAAAGTCTCTTAACTGGGAGCTCCTGTAAAATCCAAAGCAAGTTACTGTCTTATTTCAAAGGGAAGAATCGGGCACACCTAAGCAAAACCAAAGTTCAGCGAAGTATATCAAAGGCTGGACATCTGGGATTCACTCAGATCCATTCATCTGGATCTTCTAAGCTCCAAAGGGTTCTGGCAGCTCCACCTCTCTGACTCTGCCGTCCACAGCACACACAGCTTTTCTTCAAGATCCAGGGCAGCTCCATTCCACACCTACTGCTGCCCTTGGTGGTCGTCCCATGGTCCTGGCATGTCCAAAAATGCTGAGGTCTCCACTGAAACTGAGGCTATACCTTCACCAATGGCCTTTTCTTGCCTCTTGGTGTTCAAAGCCTCAGATTCTCTTCATGACCCCTTCAATCCTGGTGTCTTCACTGCAACTGAAGCTGAACTTTCACCTATGGCCTTTCCTGGCCTCTCAGAGTGCCAAGCCTCAGCTGCTCTCTGTGACCCCTTCACACTTTCAACATCAGAACCATGCAGGAGACTCTTACACATTACCAAGTCCTGCTTCCAGCTTGGGATGGAGGCTTGGGCCCCCTCTTGACCACAGCTTCTATGTGCTGACCCTGAAGAAATACTTCCCAGAAGATTTCACCACAATGATGCTGTGGTCTCTTGTTACAGCTGATTTTTCAGCCCTAGCTAACCACTGTCAATTGTCCCAGTAAAGCAAAGGTTATACTTCAGGTTCTGGTCTCTTCTAAATCACAGCTGATTCTTCAGCTCCAGCCAACCAGAACCCACAGATTCTCAATTCAAAATATCACACAATAGCCCTGATAGTCTCTGCTTCCCTTTTAAGCTTCACAAGCCAGGCCTCCATTGTCCACAACTCTTTCAGTGAGGCTGTTCCAAGATCCACAGCAACAAACTCTAAGCACTCAATGTCTTTTCCAGCCCAGAGTTCCAAACACTTCCACAATCCTCCTACAAGTACCAAGGTCCAGTCACAGCAATACCCCACTCTCTGGTACCAATTTCTGTCTTTGTTTTTTAATTTTTGTAACAAAAATACTCTGAGCCACACCAACTTGGAGAGGAAAGGGTTTATTTGGCTTATATCTCCAAGGTTACAGTTCATCAGGGAGCCCAAGGTAGGAACTCAGGGCAGGAAACTGGAGGCAGGAGCTGGAGCATAGGGCATGGAGGAATGCTGCTTACTGGCTTGCTCCCGAGGCCCCTGCTCAGCCTGTTTTCTTATGCAACACAGGCCCACCTGCCCAGGGGTGGCACCACCCACAGTGGGCTGGGCCCTCTCATATCACTCAACAACCCAGAAGATGCCCCACAGACATTGCCACAGGCCAGTCCTGTGGAGGCAATATCCCAATTGAGGTTCCCACCACCCAGGTGTGTCAAGTTGACACTAAAGCTATCTAGCACATAAGTTCTAGACTGGGAACTAGAAAAAAGTCAGAACAGGGCAATTTTCAAATGTGCATATGAGAGTTGATTGGAATTTCTTGATAAGGGCTTCCAAATAATCCCTCTATTGGATTCCTCCTCCTTTTTATCTGCCAAGCCTGGACTCAAGAGTGATGGATTCAGGATTTGCTTTCAGGCATTTGATAGCTGTTGGCGTGGTTAGAATCAGTGTCATTTCCCTCTCAAAGGCTTCTAGATAGGGGAAGAAAACAAAATTATCCATCATTTTAGAACAATAGTGGGTGGTCTCCCTTAGCTACCAATAGCACTGCAATATTTCAGACCAAGATTTGAAGTCTTACATCTGAGCAGCACTTTCTGATTAGGAACAAAATCAACAATGTGAAATAATTGTCTAAATCTTTTGGGTGTTTAAGACCATGCAGTGGACCCAAATAAATCAATTTATTTTTACACTTAAGGTCGTTTGAGGATCTGTTCCTCAGGGGTCACATGGGCTTGGGAGAATCCCCTGGCTCCTTTTTTTTTTTTTTTTTTACCAGTTCCATCTATATGAAATAAGTCAAAGGTCCTACTCAACCATGGCTGGCTTCACTTGGAAGCATGGAGGAGATGTTCCCTCTGAGTTGACCCTCCTCTTTGTATACTGGACACTGGTTCAAGTCCATCTGGTGGGGTCTCCAGGCCTCCCTGAACAAGAGGACAGGTGACTCAGCACAGTTACAGGACATTCTGAGCAATGTTCCATAGTCCCCTGGAACTCTGTCGACCTTGGAGGGCAAGGGCAAAAACTGTCCTTTAAATCCCTCTGACCAGATTAGTATAGGCTTCAAAGTATGGCTGTTAAATATCCAATAAGGTTAGTTCCACCAGTCTGGTACCTTTAATTACCATGTGTTATGTAGACACTAGAACCTTAAAAGGAAAAGAGCATTGCTTAGTATCCCCAGAAAAAAGTGTTCTCACAACAGATAGAAAATTTATTTGTTAAGGCTATTATGTTTCATAATTAATTAAAAAAAGAAAATGAGCATGTAAAAGATGTCAAAAGGATATGGGAATGGAAATATTTTCCAAAATAGAAAAAAATGAGAAAGCCTAAGCAAACGATGGTCTGTGTAGATTTGTTGTGATATATAAAGGATGAGACAAAAATAATATACACATAATCTTAAAATTCCTATGATGATAGTTTAGTCAACAAAATATATATCTAGTCAAGGTTTATCTGAGAACATTTGGTTTTTTAATGGTTATTTTTGTTATCTTCTTTGCTATCATTAAGAGTTTTTTCATTTAAATATTTATTCACTCTCATTCTCATCTGAGTTTTCTGTGAAATTCTCCAGAAGTTCATTTCCTGTGCTATAGTATCATAAAATGTTCTAGGCTGCTTTTCTGCTGCAGTGATAAAGTACTCAACAAAAGCAATTTGGGGGAGGAAAAAGTCTATTTCACTCCCAGTTTAGAAGTCATCATTTAGGGGAGTCAGGGCAGGAATTCAAGGTGGGGTTTGGGAAGTAAAACAGGGACCATGATGGAATACTGCTTATTGGCTTGTGTCCTTTAGCTGATCTGCCACCTTTTTAAGATTTATTTTTATTTTATGTGTATAAATGTTATACCTGCATTATGTAAGCGCACCCAAGTCATGCAATGCCTGCTGAGGACTGGAGAGAGCAGAAGGATAGAAGAGGGCGTGGGATTCCCTGGAACTGGGGTTACAAATGGTTGTTAGCTGCTGCGTGTGTGCTGTGACTCCAACCCTGGTCCTCTGCAAAAGCAGCCAGTGCTCTTAACTGCTGAGTCATCTCTCCAGTCCCCCACCTGCAGCAACTTTTTCAAAGAGCTAACAAATAGTGTGGCATCAGTCACCTGATGCAATCCTATAAAGCGCCTGTGGACATTTTCTTGTCAGAAAGACAAATAAATAAAAGGTGCCATGGTACCCAATGCTCACAGTGATTGGTTGGCATGATGCCAATCTCAAAGACCATCCAATCCTATTGAGCGCCCATTCTGATTGGATGATGAGTTGCCAAGCAGATGGACTGTCCCATCATTTGAATTCCTACCGCAATGGCTTACTGACAAGGTCCATCCGGGACTGTTTGTCCAATCAGATACCAAGTTGGCCCATGCGGCAGGAAGATGCCACTTGTGTACAACGGCCACTCATACTCACATCAGCAACTGTCATTTGTCTTCTCACTTAACAGCAGTTCCTTCGGCCATGGCGGCCACGAAGAAAACAGACGCTAAATCTTCTGAGGAGCGCCTCCATAACCAGATGCCTAAGAAAGCTGGGAAAAAGAAGAAGCCCAGGCGTCATGCCAGGTCCCACCGTCGCTCCCACCGCCGGAGACTCTGGAGCAGTTTTGGCACCTATTTCACCAGGGTTCTGAAGAATGTTCATGTGGGTTTAAGCCTTTTCCACAGAACCATGAACGTCTTGGACTCGTTCCTGTTTGAAAGGATCACTACTGAGGCCAGTAACCTGATTTGTCAAACCAACTCTTCTACTATCAATGCCCGGGAGATTTAGACTGCTATGAGCCTTTTGCTTCCAGGGGAAATATGCAAGTGTGCAGTGAAGGAAGGCACATTGGGCCTGGTCAGATACATCTCCTTCAAGTAAGAGATTTCTGGACATTTCAACCAGCTGAACCCAAAGGCTCTTTTAAGAGCCACATGGAATAAAAGACCTGTAGCACTGGTTCCAGTTTAGAAGCAGCAGCATTGGGACAATTCTTTCAAATATCCCTTATTAAATAAAAATTAAGTGTTGTTTATTAAATAAAATGTTTTCATCTCTATTATATGGGGGGAGGGTGTGTCACACAGCAAAGTGGTAGTTTTTTCTTAGTTGTGCTGCACTGTGTAACTTTTTTAAAATGTGTGTATGTTATGCCTGCATGTATGTAAGTGCACCCCTGTCTTCAGTGCCCAGGACAATAGAAGAGGGCATAGGATCCCCTGGAACTGGAGTTAAGTACAGTTGTTAGCTGTCATATAGCTGCTGGGATTCAAACCCGGGTCTTCTGCAAGAGCAGTCAGTGTTCTTAACCGCTGGGCCATTTTTCCAGTCCCTGTTAACTACTTAATGGTTATTTTTGTTATTTTCCTATGCTATCATTAAGAATATTTTCATTTAAATCCTTTTTTTCACTCTCATTCTCCACTGCATTTCCTGTAAAATTCTCCAAAAGTTCGTTTCCTGAGCTATAGCAACATAATGTTCTAGTCTGCTTTTCTACTACTGTGATAAAGCACTGACCAAAAGTAACTTGGAGGACGAAAGGGATTATTTCATTTTACAACTCCCAGATTATAAGATATCACTTTAATAAAGTCAGGGCAGGAATTCAGTGTAGGAGGTGGAAACAAAAGCAGGGACCATGAAGGAACACTGCTTTTAGTTTGATCAGCTACCCTTCTTTTGTTCTAAATTTTTATTTTTATTTTACGTATATGAATGTATTGCTTACATGTATGTAAGTGCACCTGTGTCATGCAGTGCCTATGGAGGACAGAAGAGGGTTTCAGGTCCCCTGTAACTGGAGTTATGGATGGTTGTTAGCTGCCATGTGTATGCTGGGATTCAAACATGAGTCTTGTGCAAGAACAGCCAGTGCTCTTAACTACTGAGCCATCTCTCCAGCCCCAGCCACCCTTCTTATACAGCCTGGGCCTAGGGATGGCACCACCAAAAATGGGCTGGGCCCCCTACATCAATTAGCAATCAAAAAAATGCCCCAGAAATATGTCCACAGGCCCATCTGATGGAGGCAAGTTTTCATTTGAGGGTCCCTCATCCCAAATGTCTTTACTTTGTATGAAGTAGACAAAAATTAACCAGCACACATAACATGTTGAAGGAGATACAACAATCCGGTTGTCTTCCCTTAGGCCAGGTATTTTCAAGAGTTTTAAATACATGAAAAAATGTCACTCACCTTTCTATTGTATTTTAAAATAGTTTATGTGAATTTAGGATTATGTTAACACAGTATAGATTCTAATATGATTTAAAAATAGTTAAATAGCAAACATTGGCTAATATAATTCACATTATTATTCTTAAGGTTATTATCAATTTTTACAACATGTCAAACTGTCATGAGACCAAGTCTTTTCTAGATAGTCATTTGCTGTGCAGTCAGAGCAACTGAAAATAACCCTGTTTTGAGTGGTTATTCCATTTACAAATTTCTGTGCCTTCAAAAATCACAGTTGGTACCTTCTTTTCATAAGAATGGTATTAGCATCATCAAATGTGATGCAGGCTTTTGTTAAAGGTTCAAGTGCTTACAGAACATTTTTCTTTTTGTGAAGGCATTTAAGTGATAATTATTCATTCACAAATCTTTAGCAACTTTATGAGATTAATGTATTTTTTTATATTTTGCTTTATTCGTATTGATATGGAGTTTTCAGATATTACACTAGGCAATCTCTTCATTCTGTGTGCCTTTCTTGGTCATTACTGTGGCTCTCCTCCTTACATGTTTTTATAGTAAAATCCCTGACTCTGAACAGTTAATCGCAAGCTAGAGCTCTAGCGTCTCATGATTTCCAACCATGCTTCCTTCAACACACCCAAAGCCCGACTGTATCTAAGTTGCTACTGAGGTAGACAAGCATAGGGAATAGCTTAGCAAGCTGGGAACCTCTTGGCTTGGACTATGTGTATAGTATTCTTTCAGGAATGCATTTGGTACCTCAGACCCTTAGCTACAGGTTTTGTGCACATATAACTCCCTCTGAACAATGAATGCACCTAGAAACCTGTTAGCAAAACAAACTGCATTGAGCTGCACTCACATCTCTCTGAAAACAGGAGTGAGTTTCTTCTCTCCTTAACAATTATCAAAATCATATACTATTCAATTCTATTCCAGTTTTTTCCAGGTACAAACGTAGAGGGGTGGTGGGCAAAAATTGGCCTTCACTGGTTTTGGGTACATATACAGTAAATTGTGTTTTCAAAATGAACTTTTAGAGAGACTCCCCTATTTGCCATCTTGTGCCTATGCATAATTAGGTATGAATAAGATTAAAATTAAGCCAGATGTGGTGGCACAGGCCTTTAATCCCAGCACTCAGGAGGCAGAGGTAGGCAGATCTCTGTGAGTTCAAGGCCAGCCTGGTCTACATAGTGAGCTCCAGGCCTGCTGGGGCTACAGGGAGACCCTGTCTCAAAAAGACCAAAAAATAAGCTTAAAATCAGATTTATTATTGGATGGAACATGCACAATAGAGAAATGGTTGTATAACTTAAATATCTCAATTAAGATAGATAATCTAAAATACACCCCTTAGCAACCAAACACCTTCTCTTGAACCCCATAAAAGAAAGTCAAAAATATTAATCAGGGGCCCTTGAGTACTTTCACTCATGTGGCCTGCTGTCAGTCTTGACAGTGTATCTGACATGTTTAATTGTTTAATTGTTTAAGTGTTCTTTCTCCTTTGGGACATTTGTGAGCCTTTCTTTCAAGTCTTCGAATTAGAGGGCAAGAAAATGGGAATGCCCAGTTCAGATCCTGACTATTAGTAACATTTTCATTTCCCAGAAATAGCAAAACCCAAGACATTGCCTGGATTCTTCTGCTACAAGATCCCAAACTGTGGTATAGGAGATTCCTTATACATGAGGCACAGCTATACCACAAAGCCAGGCTGTGCTCAACCCTGCTCCAATTAGGGTAGGCTCTGCTTTCTAGGCATTCTTTTACCTATGGTTCTAGACCACTCTAGTTCCAATAATCTGAATTTCCCTTGGAATCACCTCAAAATCACGCTCCAAATTCCATAATTTTTTAATCTTCTTGTTTTACGATTGATTTTTTTTTTTGTGTGTGTGTGTGTGTGTGTGTGTGTGTGTGTGTGGTAGGGGAGGGGTGCATGCCAAAATGCAAGTGTGGATGTCAGGGGACAACTAGTAAAATTTAGTTCTCTTCTACTCTGTGGGTCCCAAGGGTCACACTCAAGTCATCATGCTTGGCAGGAAGTGTCTTTACCCACTGAGCAATTTCATTGGGCCAGTTTCATTATTCCTTATTCCTTCCTTAAGAAGAGACTATCAGGCTGGTCATGGTGGTACTCATCTTTAATATCAGCCCTTGGGAGGCAGAGGCATGGGGATCTCTGTGAGTTCAAGGCCAGCCTGGTCTATATAGTGATTTTCAGGCCAGCCAGGGCTACACAGTGAAAGATCCTGTCTAAAATTGGAGACCAGGGCCTGTGTGGTGGCCAGCATTCAGGAGGCAGAGGTAGGTGGATCTCTGTGATAGCAAGGCCAGCCTGGTCCCCATAGCGACTTCCAGGCCATCTGGGGCTACAGGAAGACCCAGTTTCAAAAAGACAACAAAAAATGACAACAGAAGGACCTATTTTCTAAGAAGTCAGAATACCTCACTTGGTTGAGGCGGCTCCCTTCTCACTTAAAGGACCTTCAGATCATTGCCCAGCACATTAACAAGAAGACATCATGTATAGTGCTCCTTTGGGTCTTTATGGGAGATAAAAATGTGAGCACTTTCAGTAGTGAAAAGAATGTTGTGTATAATTGTACTTGAGCAAACAGGTAACAAGTAAAATCAGAAAGTCCAGTCACACTTCCATAGAAAAGATCTTTGAGTAGAATGAGGACAGTTCTTGGAGCCTGTGGATTTATAGATCACAATGGTTGTTAGGAAAATGAGAATATTTTAATAACTTGTTCAGGACTTATTCTATGTAAGTTCTGGTGCCTTTGTTTCCTAGAGACAAATGGCAGTGTTAAGTTGCATTAATAGGGAAAGATGTCACATATAGTGAGAGTGTCTGTTTGGGTGCTAACTGATGTGAGCCAGTTGGACTGGAATCTTCTTTAAGAGCAATTAAAGATGCTGGTTTTGGATTTAGAAGTTTGGCCTTCAGTCCCATCTGCGCCTCTTATTTAATTTACTATGTTGGGCAATTTGATCTGAATTTTGGCATTCTCCTCTGGAGAACAAAGGCCTACAGGTTAATATGCAGTATGGGCAAGGGGGCAGGTAGCGTATTCAACAATCCATGGTGAATAAATGGCTATCCAGAGTCTCAGTTCTTAGATCCATGCCTTCTGGTGATGAGAAACAGTAGAAATAGATTCTGCTCTAAAAAGTGTGTGGATGCACTCTTGGGTGCCTGGGCCTCATCTATTTGCTTAGCACTGACAGTCGAGATAAGAAAGGATGATCTTTCCTCTTCTGAGCCTCACTTCATATTAGAGAAGTTGCACAGATAAGCCTGCTCTGAGTAATGATGGAAAGTTGCTAGGGAGTATTTGGAAAGTGCTTGTCACCTCAACTAGCTTTGAGCATTGCTGACTCAGGGCTTTATGATAAACCAGTCCTCTACACTTCCATTAACCCTCTTCTGCCCCCACTGTACTCCTATATGAAAAATATTCACCTTTCAGACTTTGAGTTAAATCCTATGTCCTTTGTGGCTAAGTGTTCAATCCTTGGGTCTCAGGATCCCCAAATAAAAAATTAGTATACTATTTATTAATCCCCTACAGAAAGATTGTGATTAGCATTTCATGAAATAATAGAGGTCATATGTCAGGTGCAGTGTCTTCTACTTCCTACTCTCTCAGCCCCCAAGATG